TCATTTTAAGCCTAAAGACAAATGTTTGGTTTTTGTTAACAGGCATTTCTGTTATTTTTTTTATAACATCTGCACACAATATTCTTCTTCTATGCATCAATTGAGAACACAGGGGATCATTGGCCCCGACACAACTTTCTATGCATCATAGAAATAAGCAATGTTTCTCCTCTCACCATTTATCCCAGTCCATACTCTGCCATCCATCTACACAAACTTATTAGGGGTAGGTTATTTATGGTTTACCTCTGTCCAACTTGGATTTGGCTTCAGTAGGGAGGTGTCCTGTGATTGTTTTATTCTCTATACCCTGAAAACCTCAGTAGACACAGTGCGATGGATAAATCATCTAAATGACACAAAAATGAAAATAACACTGACATCTCATTTTAAGAGATGTATTTACCAAATTACACAAAAATATCTTGAAATACTAAAGAGTAAATTTATTTAAAAAAAAAAAAATCACAATTGGCTTCAACTATGGCCTCCAGACGACTTCAGAATGTCCTGGAACTCTTCTGGATGGTCTTGTAGTTTAAGTTGGTGAATGCTGCAATATTCTCTCATTCAACTACACCCCACATATAATCAAGGGTGTTGCAGTCTGAGGAATTAAATGTAAGGAGTGATGTGGTCACAGAAGTTGTCTGACAGCCATGACTGGGTTCCCTTGCTTGTGTGCCATGGTGCAGAGTCATGTTGCCAGACATAGAATCTTCCAGCAGCCACCCTCTTGACCCAAAGCAGCACTAGCTCTTCAAGCCATTTGATACTGGCCTCTATGTTGAGTGTAAGATCCTCACCAACAAATTCATGAGTTCTTTTCTTATCAGAATGATCAGAGTGATTTTTCCAAGTTGCTCTACCTTTGTAATCACCATTAGACTCATCTAACTCTTTCTGAATCCTCTACACTGTCCTCAAATTGATACCCAAACACACTGAAAGGTTCGTATGGAAGCTTCTGGCATGAATGCCAAGCAATACAGCATGCTGTTTCCAAATTTCTGGTGAAGTGAATAGCATCATGGTGTTCTTTTTCTCATAGACAGGGCCCAATGGACCCTACTGTACTGTGCAGTCAACAAAATCAAAAACAACCAATGTGAATGCATAAAATTAAAAATATAAACTGGTCACAATTTACCCATCACACCCTGTATTTCAAATGCAAATTAATTGATTGGGTTTGAAATCAGCCAAACTCATTTTCTCCACTTGAAAATAGACAATCTCAAAGAATTAACATCTGCTTTTAGCTTACAGCACTTTATATTTGAAAACTGTTACTTATACAAATTGTGATCAAAATCACCATTGCTTAACTCTGAAAGTCATATAACTCTTACATGCAGCAAAAGTTAGGATCCATAAGAATGAGAAAAAATCTTCTTGAAAGGTCACATTGTAGAGAAACATTTTAATTTTACTGTGAAATGCCGTATTCTTCAGATTAAATAACTGGACTTTGAAGAAAATACGTAATTATTTCATTTGATGAAATGGTATTAAATTTGTTAACAAAGCAGGCAAACATGCACACATATGTTAACTTGTGTGCAGATAGAAATGTTAAAATACTAATAATTAGCTTTTAATTATTTTTAATTAGCATCTATTTTAAATTGTTCCCAGAATGCTGTGAAAGTAAAAAAAATAAAAATAATTTGTTAATAATAATAATAATAATGCAAATCATAGTTTACATAAAAGCTGTTATTCATATTTTTCTAGTTTTGGTGAAATAAATTACTAATTAGTAGTTTCTTAAGATGAAAATATTTCATAAAATATTTCAAGAGATTTTTTATACTCTTGATAAGTATTTCTTAAAGCATATTTTTTATTGTAATTATTCACAAGATCTTTACAACACATTTTTTTTAATTTTAAAAGGGGGGGGCAGCATGAACAAAGAAAGTCTATGATTCATATTTCTTAGTTAAATTCGCAAAATTTGGCAGATATAAAATATGCCAGTATTTCCAAGCAACCCAGAATTTTTCAACTTATTTCCTGTGCCAAGAGAAGGAATCACAAACTGAACAACCTAACAAAAACAAAAATTAGTTTCACTTGAGAAAAAAAAAAAAAAAGACTAAACAGTATGCAACATTTTTGGAGAACAGATTTTGAACAATTATCCATTTGCAGTGTATTTTTACAGATCTTTCTGATGTATGAATGATTTTCTTAAACATGATCGAGATTTGGATAATTTCTTATAAGCCATATTACAGTGCCAAATTTCAAAATTAAAAATCCAAAGAATTTCAATTTTTATGTTTCAAATGCATCAGCATTTGTATACCTTGGTGTTTGATCAAAATCTGTAGAAAGTTCAATTTCTTTCTTTTTCCTTTTTGATAGGAGACTTTACAGATAACTCAATATAAAAAGGTTATTTCCATTGTGCTAGTTGTTTTTTTAGATACATTATTTGAAATAAAATTTCCATCCTCATGAATGGCTTTTACCAGTGTAGACAATAAAAAGACTGACCTGAAAGTCATGATTTTAAAACTTTCATCATTTCACAGAAATTTTCTTCAAGGCTCAAAAGAACAAGAATTAAAATATGAACATTTTTTTGGGGGGGGGTTTCAATTGAAAATAAATGGAGGAATTCTACAGATGTTAAAAAATATTTGACAAAATATAGAGGATTTGCATATCTTATTGTTTTCTGTAGAATCCAAAGCAAATATTGATGATGCATGGTGATGTGGATAAAACAGACCGAAAAGATGTGGACTTCTTGATCAGAGTAATAATAATAATGTGGGACATTCAGGTCACTATTGTGTCCCAGTTATGTCATGGGCTTTGGGGTTTATACCCAACCCCAACTACAAAGTCTTACATTGAGAAAACCAGAATAAAGCCTAGTATCTTAACATCTTCAGAAATCTGTGTTGCTTGGCATTGCAATTATTCTGCGAAAAGTTTTTTTCTCTGTTCAAGGTTGTATGAATGGATGGAGAACACCCAGAATGCTATTTCACCAGTTGCAAAAAAATAAAAAATGTGGAAGAAGATTAGAAAATAATAAAAAAGGTGGGAAGATATTTTGTAGAAAATAATTGTGCTAAAATCACAACAACAATGGAAGGTTGCTATTGTAAAGCATTTATAAGGGAGAAGAAAAAATCTTGCTTAGTTTCTGATTCTGGAAAAAACTGTAGAATATAAAAAAACAAAATGTTTGCTTTTTTATGCTTGATAATTGTTGATAATACTTAACAGCAAATATGTATCCACTGACCAGTAAAAATAAAATAGAAATAATTTGTTAAGGTTTGGGCAAAGATATTCTGTTAAAATTTTTGATTCTTTTTAACTGGATTTCATTCTCACAAAGTGAAAGTCTCCATCATTGAATTGGTTAAAAACACAGAAATTCACTTAAACTCTCACTGGGGAAACAAAGGAAATTAGCTGCAAAAGAAAATTGGTCGTGAAATAAAAGGATCTTAACAGACAAACAGACAGATATGCTGTTGGAGAATGCTTGAAAGTTAGACTTGAAATTGTCTGAAGCTGTGAATCTTTAGCAATTAAATAAAAAGATTTAAATTTCACTGACTTAATTTCACAAAGCCATTTACAGGGACAAAAAGTGAAAAGTAAAACTGAGAAAGAAGGGAAAGTGTTGTTGTTGTTATTAAGAGCTGCACAAACAAGACAATAAAATTCTCAACAGCCATTGCTGAAAACATGTGTCACAATCAAAGCCAAACAAAATCACATGGAACAAATATTTATTAAAGGAGCACATCTTAAGAACAATCAAATAACTCAACATTCTGGCAAGTGGAAAAATCAACATTAATTTGAAAGTTTTTTTTTTGCTTTTTTAAATTTTTAGGAGATTCAAAAGTTTAAGTCAGTCAAAATTTTTGCAGCATTTCACATCTAGGCTAAATAGTCAAACAACATATTTCCTTTTTCTGATACAAATTCTTAAATCTGTTACTGACAACTCTAGTTTTCATTTCTTCTTTCTGTAGAACTTTATTATAAAAAGTAAGTTTTAGTGGAGGGCAAAGGATGATAAAACTTAGGATTACAACGAACAATTTCAACATTGAAATCATGAGACCTAGCTGCCAATCTAGTACTGCATTTAAATTTGTAAAGTCAAGATACCAACAAGGAAAGCTCATTAGAACAATTACCATAAAAACATTTACAGAAAAGGCAAAGGAAAGCTACGTTATGGTGGTGTGAAAATAAATGAACCTGTGATGCCAGGTCAGAAAGCATAACCTTTCTGTAGTCACATCCAGGCCATCAGATCTGTAAGGGAGTCATCTATATGTGTGAAAATCTCAGAAGAGAGAAATTGGCTGAATGTGAAAGGATGCAAAGAAGTGTTATAAAACGAGATTATTTACCAAATTGGTAAACATTTTGAATATTTCAGATAAAATCTAGTTCCTTAACAAAAATAATTGGATCCAGATCGCCAAAGAGTAGCCATCTGTTATTGTTGTTCTACTAAAGTAGCCATAAAAATAAGGAGAGTATTATTTATGCACAGATTGATACATATGCATAGCACAAGAGTTTCTGCCAAGAATCAAAGTGTTGCTTCCTCTGACAACCCTTTTACCTAGAATAAAAGTGTAGTATGTACAAACTATGAAAAGTGTCATATAAAAAATATATGGGAAATACACATTGTAAAAACAATCAAACATTTTAACTGAAATGCCTTTTCTATATGGTACGTTCTCATTAGAAATTAAATATGAGGGGTAAAAGAATTTGACAGACAACTGAGAAACAAAGGGCAAAAGAATTTGACAGAGAAATAAAACATGAAAAACTATTTGCAAGAAATCAAAAATTTTGTCAATGGTTTCATTCTGCTTCATGGAGAGGAAGTGAGAATTTTCAGAAAATAAAATATTTCAGGGATTTTTCTCGAATGAAATAATTTCAAGTTTATTTTAATGAATTAATTTGTAAGTGAAAGAAAGCAAATGAAAAAACTAGTTGAGAGAGAGGTGGGGAGATATAGAAGGACAAAAAGTGGTTGAGAGAGAGGTGGGGAGATATAGAAGGACAAAAAGTGGTTGAGAGAGAGGTGGGGAGATACAGAAGGACAAAAAGTGGTTGAGAGAGAGGTGGGGAGATATAGAAGGACAAAAAAGTGGTTGAGAGAGAGGTGGGGAGATATAGAAGGACAAAAAAAGTGGTTGAGAGAGAGGTGGGGAGATACAGAAGGACAAAAAGTGGTTGAGAGAGCGGTGGGGAGATACAGAAGGACAAAAAGTGGTTGAGAGAGAGGTGGGGAGATATAGAAGGACAAAAAGTGGTTGAGAGAGAGGTGGGGAGATACAGAAGGACAAAAAGTGGTTGAGAGAGAGGTGGGGAGATATAGAAGGACAAAAAGTGGTTGAGAGAGAGGTGGGGAGATACAGAAGGACAAAAAGTGGTTGAGAGAGAGGTGGGGGGAGATACAGAAGGACAAAAAGTGGTTGAGAGAGAGGTGGGGAGATACAGAAGGACAAAAAGTGGTTGAGAGAGAGGTGGGGAGATACAGAAGGACAAAAAGTGGTTGAGAGAGAGGTGGGGAGATATAGAAGGACAAAAAGTGTTTGAGAGAGAGGTGGGGAGATATAGAAGGACAAAAAGAAAAATTCTAATTTAAACCTAAATGAGAAAACAGTTTTGAAAAAATATTTTTATTCTGCCTAAATCAGCTTCTCCATCATTATTTGGGTAATTCTATTTTTGTTTTTATTATCTTTGAGACTGATAACTTGTCATCATGTGTTACCAATATGGAGGCACATCGTCATCTGGTCAAGGTGATGAGTCCTACTAATGATGGTGAAGGCACTGTATAATTAACATCAAATCTCCTCCCGACATCAACAAACTTGTCCACTCAAGTGTTAATCCCAGAACAAAGATGATCATTAGTAATAAATGAGAAAAAAAAACAAAAAAAAAAACAACAATTCTCAATTTCTACATTAGCAATTAGAACAAAAAAGAAAAAGATTTTATTTCCTTTTGTGGGCAGAGTTTTGTAGAGTGAAACAAGTAACAATTGATATTCAAGAATGATGTCTGTTCATTAAGATTTCTTTCCAGTTTCAAGATAACTTCTTCCCCAGTCTCATTTACAAAAGCTAAAATATCAAATGTAACATAAGCAAATATTCATAACAGTTCTCAATAATAAGTGAAAGTAAATATAAAGAAAGAACAAAGAAAGGCATAAAGAGTTATGTGCAGAGTAACCATAATAGGAGATATTTTCAATGCCTCCTTTCTGTCACATTAACTATATTGACATTAACATTTACTCCTGTCTCAATAGCAAATCTGCCAGAGCCAACAAAGTAAACCTGGCCGCTGCTCTTGAAAACGACCTCAAAATGAAACGGCTCTCATTCAACCACCATCAAGAATCTTTCCTGACCACCATCATCATGGTTGATGCTAGACTCATGGAGAGCAACACACTGCACCTTCTTGGCATCACGTTTTCAACTGACTTGAAGTGGAACAACTACATTGGATCAATAGCTGTATCTACTGCAAGGAAAGATGGCTTACTGTGTTGTGCCAGTAGGTTTTTCTCATCAGAGTTCATCTTGCAGATTTACAAATCTACCATTCATCCATGCATTGAATACGGTTGCCATATCTGGTCAGGTGCTCCTTCTACTCATCTCAAGGTTCTTGACAAAATCCAAAGAAGGATCTGCAATGTAATCGATTCTGACTTGGCATCTCAATTTCAGTCATTTTCTCACAAACATGACATGGCTTCCCTCTGTCTTTTCTATAAATATTTTCATAGTAACTGCTCTAAAAATATTTTATCCCTGGTAGTCAGTCTATACAAGTTTAAGTGTGCCACTAGACTGGCATCTTTTACTGTTGAATTACTATAATGTAACTGCTACTTCTACTCCAACAGTTTCTTTTCTCTCACTTCTCACCTGTGGAACTCTCTTTAGTTTCCTTGCTTTCCTGATAACTACAATCTTCAAAAACTTAAATGCAATGTCAGTTGTCATCTTCTATCTTCTTGTGGCCCATTCAGCTTTTATCCTTTCCTCGGTTTCCCTTACCCAGTTTATTCTCCCACCTTCACTCTCTGTAACCCCCTGTGTACCAGTGGCTCTCCTGCCTTGCTTGGGGTGAAATGATTAAAAAACGAAAAAGCAAAAACAACAAACATATGGCCTGTTCTTTATTTAGAGATTCTTGAGAAAATTCCAAAGAATCAACAATATTATTGGTTCTGGCCTGGCCTCTCAGCTTCAGTCACTTTCCTACTGCCATAATGCAGCTTCTCTTTTTTATAAATACTTTTATGGTAATTGTTCTGATGAACTTTCTGCTATGGTACCTAGACTTAATTGAATGTAAGCACAGTACTAGATTGGTGGCAAGGTCTCATCAATTCACAGTTGAATTGTCTAGATGTAAGCATATGTTTTATGCTAACAATTTCTTCTCTTGCACTTCTCCCTAATGGAACTTGCTTCCAGATCCATGCTTCTCAACCAACTTTGATCTTCAAAAATTTAAATGCAATGTCAATCATTATCTACTGCATTATTGATTACTCTTCTATTGTTCTTGTTCCCTTAATGTTGTTTCTCTTTTTTTACTTCTTCTTCTTTCACACTCAGTAACTCTCACTTTGTGTCTATGACCCTTTACTGCCTTGCTTGGGGTGAATTTGATTAAAAGAGAAAAATGAAACATTAAATTTCTATGGAACGTAGCCTGCCTAGGAGAAAGGAAAACCAATTCCAATCTTATAAACCTTCATGAGTCTTCATTGTCTGTTCTTCTGAGAAAAATCAACTCTGAACTCAAACTCAGCTTTTTTGGTTGTTGCGATCCAAGTTGGTGTTAGGAAAGGCAAAAATGTTGTGAAACATTTGCCTTGATCAATAGCTGCTTATATGTCTAGTTGTGATATCACTGCTGTGTTTCATTTGATTGATTCTACAGCAATGTTCGGTTCAGTCTTTCTAGTAGTGCAAGCCAGAAAATAATAGCAAACAAAATATTTGCAACAATGCTTCAATGTCATTTTTTTAAAAATATGTTATGTTGCTTTCAGAATTTTTAACAAGGGAATATTTTCAACTCTTATTAAACAAAAAAAAAAAAAATAACAGTTTTCATGTTAAATAACAAAACCCACATCTGTGCCACATTGGCTTGATTTATGCATCTTACCCAAAAGTTGATGTATGCTAATTCTTTCAATTTGCCTTTTCGCTATGTTCTCAAGAATTCCAAAGAGAGTAATGTACACTTTTCTTCCTTGAAATATGATCATCTCCTTTGCCAGATTTGTTCTCTTCTTTCATGGCTTGATAAGTCAAAGCAGTGTTAGTCTTAACATTATATGGCTTTTGTTGTTTAACAGGAATATGACATGGAATTATTTGTTTAACAAACAATTAAAATAAATAAAAAAAAACAGAAATTAAGAATAATGCAATAAGTGCAGGCAAGCATTCATGGCTGAAAAAGGAATAATTTATATTTTACAAGCATTTCTGTAAATAATTGTCTTTGTTTTGTTGTTTTCTAGTCCACACATACTGAAAAATACTCTCTTATTTTCCACAGAGAAAATTTGGAGAATGTTATTGAATGGATTAGTGAAAATGTGGAAACAAAGAAGAACAACTCTTGGAATGATAATGATTTCTCAAAATCAGAGACAAAAATATGACTATATCTTTGCAATCTCAACAATGACATTGTGGCAAAAAATAAAAACAAAACAACAACAAACTTTAAACTTATTGCAGGGCTTGGGAAATTTGATACTCACAGGACAGATTGAAGGTAAAAGTGTCACAAGAAAGCAACACACAATCTACTTGGTGAGTTTGAGCAAATAGATGGCAGAGTAGGTTTTGGGAGAGATAACAAAAAGACAAACGATATTAAGAATTGAAAAGACAGGAAATTGTGGAGAGCTATGATTGCCAATATCATGAAAGGACACAGCACATAGAAGAAAAATCACAGTTATTTTGTTAATTTAAAATATTTGACTTTTGAAAAGTAAAACCACAATTTCTATCTTGTGTCATCTGATGGAATAAAATATTTTAATAATTTGGTTCAGTTTTTACATTGTTATCAAAATAGGTTACGAATTATAACATTCAAGATTGACAAGCACTTCATTAAGTTTTATTTCCTTTATTTTACTTTGGAAGTTCTCTTCAAATATTCAAATTCAACAAGATTTAGAATTTGCACCTCCATATTGTGTGTACAGTAGTTTACACAAACCATCAAAAAATACAACAATATTTAACTAATTATGTCATTGCTTTGTACTTATAGAATATCAAAAACTTTTCAATACATCCTAAAGCCAACAATATTCCATTTGCCATTGAATAATTAAGGAGTTTTACTTACCAAGTTTAATAAAATATTTCTATTTCTAATGCATCATCAGGAGAGTCCACTACATCATGATGCCTCCAAAAAATGTTACAAGTTGTATGCGTGTGTGGATATTACACCTACTAACTTTTTTTTTTCTTATAGTAATTGTAATGAATTGACAACAGAAAGAACTACCACAGAATAGTAGCTTTATTCCACATTACTATTATGACTGCTATTGTAGCATGCCAAGCAACCATCTTTGAGTTGTAAGAGTTCTTTTAAAAGTTCCATTAAAGGGGGATAATCAGGGAAGTTTATTATAGCAGTAATTTTAGTCAGAAATTCTCAAACTAGATTATCATTTTACTAATTAGCTGAACAAATATCCTCATCCTTATTGTTTAGATTAGTTCACACTCTTGGAGAACATGGCGGCTGATACAATTTGATCAAGAAGTTGAAGATGCTGGAATAATGATTTATAGAATAAGCACTTTAGGAAAGAAAAACTGTCTTATTAAAGGAGTTAGAATTCCGAGTGAGCCAACAACAACTTGAATTCAATGACTGAGAAGACACTAATGTTATAAAGATACTTGGACACTAAAGTCATTAACTTCAAAGAAAAATTGTGACAGTGTTCTACAGCAGATTCAAGCAGATCTTCATGCCAAAACCAGAAAAGCAAATGGTTAATATTCCTCAACCAAGTGTCTACCCCCACCCCATCAACCACAGTAAAAGGCACTTGTGAAGTTGGCTCAAATCCAACAGGCAGCAAAGTCCCATTCCAAATGCTCACTGAATTCAATGCAATCCTATACTTTAACCAGTAAATGTAATTCCAAACCAGGAGGAAAATCGCCATTACATCTTTATTGGGCATTTACTAAGCTTAAGTTAGTCTGGTGCATGGCCAGATATTTTGAGAACCCTACAAGAATCAGACTAGCAATAGATCTATGATTATAAAATTATATGATGATGAGTGTAGAAAATGTCTATAGTGACAGCCTCTTCACTCCTCATAAATGGAAAACTAAGTACAGTAGAAATACTGAATAATAAACTTATAAAAATTTCTTTGTCCATCACTTTCAATGAAACATGTATAAAAGAAAGATTGCTACTCAAATATATTTATATGTATGTGTGTGTTTGTGTATACATCATATGATTTCTCAGATGAAATTATATGAATCTACCAATTATGAGCTAAAAATATTCAATAAATCAATTTTAGGAATTTTTCAAGTCAAATATGAAACAATATATTTATTCAACAAAGAAACAAAATATTCATTATATTTCATTTTTATTTTCGTAATTTTATACTTTGATGAAAATAAAAATGTATCTTTTGGGAAAATATAAGGTTTAAGGATGATATTTCAAGCATGAAAAACAAAATCGAAATCATTTGATTTTCAAAGGAATTTAATGTGCTAAAAGAGAAAGTCAAAAATCATTCTTTAAATTCATCCCATTATGAAACTTGTGAATTCTAAATCATTTTAATCCTTCTCTTTAAATTTAGAATTTGAAATTAAATTTGTTTTCCTTGTCTAAACACCAGATTCAGATTCTTTACTCTATACAAGAAAACCTGACAAAATTTGGGAAATATATTTTGCAAAATCCTTATTTAACTCCCAAGAGTATTTGTCCTTACATTTGTGATGATGGCTTGAATTCTTATAGAATAAGTTTGAAAATAGCATGGAAGAATTGATATCATTCACAAGAGAGTATAGATAATTTGAGGAAACTTATCACTTGGTCTTCAAACGTGAACATATAATTGGACACAGATTATATATAAAGCTGACACTGAGAGGTGACAGTCTGCTTCATGCTTGAGTGCAATCTTCAGGCCATCTATCCTTGAACACTTTTACACATAGATATAATATACATATATATATATATATATATATATATATATATATGTATGTGTGTGTGTGTGTGTGTTTTTTTTTTTTTCTTATATACAGAAGAATTAGTTAATTGTCCATATCAATCCTTGTTATGTCCCTGACTGTGCAGTTTCATGGTACAATGTCCACTTTTGAAGAGGCTAATCCATATATTAAATATTTCCAATTGTAAAGAATATCTGTTTTTTTTTTCAATTTTCATGTGTGTGTCTTTTTTTTTTAACTCCATTATGAGCATGCACATGTTTTTACATGGGCTCACGTGTTTGTTCATAAATGTAATTGTTTTTCAAGTGTATATTTTGTAATTTATAAACCTAATTGTTTTGCTATTTTGCAGGTATAATAACACAAACCTGCAAAATAGCAACAATAATTCTAAGTGTTGAAATAATACAACTGCTCTCTTAAGAAATGTCTAATTAATAATATATAAAGCAACTGCATCAAATAACATTAACACAGAAGAAAAAATTTATATAGGAGCAACTGACACAACTTTTAAAGAAAGATTTAATAATCATAAAATGTCATTTAAAATAGATATTCAAATAACACTTTATCAAAATATATATGGAGACAGGAAGAAAAATATATCAACTAAAATTAAATGGGAAATAGCTCAATATTTTTTTATTATGCTTATTTATTATTTTCCCATATTATTCATACAACTATAACTGATTTTAATTGTGTTTTTAAACTATCAAGAATCATCAAGAAATAGTAAACTATCAAGAATCATTAATGATTCTTGATAGTTTACTATTTTTAGGTAAGTGATTTTCAATTAATTTAAAAAAATATATTTCCTATTTTTTTTTATTATATTACTATAAGGTGGATTTTTCCTTCATTTTTGTAATTCATTATTGTTAGTTATGTAATTTATTTGAATAACCACTTTTTTGTAATGCTGAATCATATTTTTTTTTAATTTAATTAAATATTTTTATATTGCTTGAATTAGTTGCAATTGTTTTATTAACAAATATTGGTATATGCTTAAATACATTAGGTGTATGATTTGAATTTTTGTTTTATATATATATATATATATATATTGGAGACACAGTGGAGTAATGGATAGCAGCTTGGATTGAGGAATCGCAAAGCAGAGTTCGAATTCCAGTCGAATCCATTATGTACACTTACGTGCTAAGACCCTTGGGAAAGGTATGAATCCTCTTCCTCTCCCTCCAGCTATGGGTAAAATAGCAGGACAGACTGGGTTCTATAGCCTTGGATGGCAACTGGTCTAGGAGAAGGACAACTCTGCGGAGGGTCGTTTGGGAACTTTGTGGCATTCGGTGCACCAGGTCTCTGTATTAGTCCCTTCAAAAAGTGTGGATGGTCCTGCACGAGGCCTTCACCACTGTAATCAAATCTCATGTGCCAGTGTCGGGCTGTCAGTTTCCTGGAAACTGATCTGCTTGACCCTCATACGTCGAATCTCAACGGGAGAGTCGATTATTATATATATATATATATATATGGGATTATTATTTACTTTCCTATAGGTTTGCATGTATTATTATTTAAATTATACATTATGTCTAGAAAATTTACTATTTTTAGGTTCAATTTTATGTCTATTTTAAATCCTAATTTGTTAAATATTTCTATTATTTGTTTTTTATATTTTCTATTTTTCTACTCTTATAATTTCTTACAATTATTAAGCCATCATCTCAATATAAACCTATATCCTTTTTATCAATGATATTTGATAAATTTATATATATATATATATATATATATATATATATATATATAAAAAAGGCTTAAACACTAATATTCCATGGTCATAATTTATTCCATTGGAATCGTAAATATATGTATATTTTCCACTAATATTATATATATATATATATATATATATATATATATATATATATTTATTCCATTGGAATCATAAATATATGTATATTTTCCACTAATATTATATATATATATATTTATTCCATTGGAATCGTAAATATATGTATATTTTCCACTAATATTATATATATATTTATTCCATTGGAATCGTAAATATATGTATATTTTCCACTAATATTATATATATATTTATTCCATTGGAATCGTAAATATATTTATATTTTCCACTAATATTATATATATATATATATATATATATATATTTATTTATTCCATTGGAAACGTAAATATGTTGCAGCGGGCCGAGAGGTGTGAGTGCCAATCGACCGTTCTACTAAAAGGGGGACACAAGGGCAAGGAGATTGCAATAGCAAAGAAGGATGACAAACGCAGACGGTCCGTTGTAGACGATGGAAATTGTGTCTTTATTTGCAAACGGTGGATGGTAAAAAAGACAGAGGTCGTTTGAACGGTGTCCGGACGATAATGGGTGCTAGATGTCAGTGGGCACTGGATAAGGTCGTCAGCGGGTGCTGGAATAGGACGCGGGACGTCAGTAAAGCGCCGCAGGGGTGAACTGTAAACTGCAGGAGTGAGCTGGAAGCGGTAGGAGTGCTGGAAGCCGTAAGAGTGATCTGAAGGCTGCAGGAGAGAGCTGGAAGCTGCAGGGCTTGATCGACTTGACTGGGCGCGTCAAAGTCGCGAATCAGGGAGGCTTCCTGCTCCCCCGGGCCAGCTAAAAACCGCTGCGAAGTCTCGGGGATATAGGTATGACGGTTCATACAAGAGAAAGCGGTGACGCTAAACAAGTAAATGAATATAATTAATTCCGGGCCGTATTAATTACAGTCAAAAGTGTGTTCGGTGTTTGTTGACTGTATTTAAATTAATTTCGGTTCGAAATTAAAGGTCTTTTATTTTTGTTTAGTGGCGAAAATTGAGTTTTGTGTGTTTCTGACAGTTTGGAAGGATGTCATTGCTATTTTTAGCACACAAGGACCGTGACCTTTCTCTATCGGCAGGCATAGCCGGGGTTGTTTAAGAAACGGTGGGAGTGGTGTTTGGGCACACTGCGACAAATATATGTATATTTTCCACTAATATATATATATTTATATATATATCCCTGTTATATAGTCATGGTTAATTTTTTTTTTTTTAATTTACTTTCCCATATGGAAAGGGTGATGGAAGAGAATCTTATTTGCAAAGTCAGTAAATATTTGTAATGTTAAGGGAGAAAATTTCTAATATGAACACAAATATAGGTGTGAGCATACACAGACTTATAAACATTAAAAACTTGATGTAAATTTATGTGTTACTCTTTCACTGGAGTGGAGGGTATTCAATTATAAATTTACAAAGAATTTAAACTATTCAAGAAGGAAAAAGAAAAAAATCAGTTTTTGATTTCATGAATTCAAGATAGTATTTGGAGTTTTGTTTTTTCAAAAAGTCTAATTTTGCCAGACCGTATAATTCCTACAGTTACCAGAACTGAAAGTAGCATTGCTTCCTGACAGACACACACACAAATATAGACTTTATATATAAGACACTAATATTGCATACCAATACAGCAAATAGGAATTTGATACTACTTTCATGAAGAGTTCAGGATAGATTAGATATGCAAATACTACAAGCAGAGTTGTGATCTCTTCTCTTTTGGTACAAATGAAAAATGATTTTGATTTATTAGAAAGAAGTAAAAACTGTGACTGTAAAATGAAACAAAGAAAAGAAGGATGAGAAAAGACAAGAAAAAGTTAGTGATAAATGAGACTTAACAATTTAAGCAGAAATGTTTAGACATTTAACAAAGGGAGATAATTATTCAGGATCTCATCAACTTTGAACTTCTCTTAAGGTAACAACATATTATAATTCTGCTTGCTCCTTAGTTAGCATATTACCTCAGATAAACAATGAATTATTCCTGTTTAATTGCAATCAATTTGTAATAGCTTACCTGTCCCCCTGCACACAAAATGGAAGAAAAGTTATATCAAAGGTGCTGTTTGGTTTGAGGGAGAGGAAAAAGAAAGGAAAAGAAAATTTCTGCTTCAGTGAAATGGAAAACCTTGTCAATTTTTAATCTTTTCATTTGTACCCTCATACTTCTTTAATAACCTGCATTCGTATTTATGGTTGTTGTTGTCATATTTCATTGAAATTGTTAAGCTCAATTATTTAATGGTTTCATAATAGAGTTTTCATGGCTATTATTAGTTGTAGAACTCACAAGGAGCTTATTCAATCATTAACTTGAGAATTCTGGTTCATCAGGAAATTCAAATAAGAAAATCATGAAATTTTCACAGGTATTGCTAGCTTAGAATTAAACTAATAAACATTAACAATTATCTTCTATCTTTTTAATTCCTGTTATTTTTAATTATCTCTTGCATCTTAGTGGCTTTATTGCCTTGCTTAGTGTGAAATGATTAAAAAACAAAATACAAAAGCAGGAGAAATGCATGAAAGAAAAAAGAAAACAATGAAAAATATTTTTCTATAAAATTTAATTGAAATAAATACATTTTGGAAGTCAAGTTAAAACATAAGATCTACCACCTGTGAACCCACAATTTATCATTTTATGTACATTAAACAAGTCAGGTAAACTTCATAGTGTAGAAAAAAAGAAATACTTTAACCATTCCAGGTCTTGTTCAAACTTTTTTTTGTTTCCTTCTTGGAATGATCTTTAATCAAATAGGATATTTGAAGAGAAAATGAAGCTATTCTTGAGACATTTTCCCCTCATCTTCCAGGCCAAAATAATGGTCAGAATTATGGATGAGAATTGGGAATTATTTTCCAAAAGAAAATAAAAATTGGCAGTAAATCTATTCAACAAGCTGACTTGAACCTGGACTTTGTCAGAAGAGATCAGAAAACAAATTATTACCATGCGTTATTCCCTCCAATATACTCTTCTCCTTACACCACTACCACTGGGAGAGTGGGGGGATACAAACAAAGCCAGAATACAAATGGGTTAAGCTATTTGTTTGTAGTGCGGATTTTACAAGTAGTAAAGTAAAATGGAAGAAAACTGACTGAGACAACAAGGTAATGACAACTTTTATAAAAACATCACCAATACAAAAGTGTAGCAGCAGCAATCAATAATTGATATTAATCCATTATTGGTAGCCCTCAAAATGGCAGAAGTTGTCACCAGCAATTAAGTGACAGTCTCCACCCAAGTCTCAAAATTGGTCCATGTCAAAACAGTGAAACACTAATCAGCACAAACTAAAGTTAATGATAAGCATGAATAAAATACTTGTTTATAAAATATAGATGAAATAGTGAGGAAAGAGAAAATGGAAGCGGGTGGGGGAGTAAAGAGAAAAACAGAGGTGGGGGGGGAGTAAAGAGCGAAAATGGAAGTGTAAGAAAGAGAGAAAAGAGGAAGGAAGATTAAAAAGAGAAAATGGAGAGGAAAGATTCAAGAAGTGAGAATGCCAGTGAACAATGCAAGAGAGAGAGAGAGGACAAAATGGCAAGACTGAAAAGAATAAATTGAATAGACCCAGAAGGAAAAGTGTAGAGAGAAAAGGAAAAGAGTAGAGAGAGAGAGAGAGAGGAAAAGAGTAGAGAGAGAGAGAGAGAGGAAAAGAGTAGAGAGAGAAGGAAAAGAGTACAGAGAGAAGGAAAAGAGTAGAGAGAGAGAGGAAAAGAGTAGATGATTGGGTGTTTATAAAGAAATAGCATTTGGCATGGATAGTTTTTTTTAATCAGGAATTTCTTCCAACATACCAAAAATCTCCACTAATCAGTAACAGGTACAAAATTCTGCACACCTGTAACTTTGTTAATACTATTTTCTTTAATATTAATTTTGATGGAGGGGGGGAAATAAAGCTACAATATGACACAAAAAACAAATGGATATTTGTTTTTTATCGGTGTTTGAATCTAATGACATATATTCAAAGGTACTTTGATCTTTTCAAACTCTTCTTCACTGTATAGATATTAGGCTGGTCATTCATCTTTAAGTGTTTATTTTGGCTGCTGATTAGGGACATTTTGTACTAATGGACTCATTAGTTATCCTTCTGATACTTTTTCTTGCTTGATTCTGCAGAGTAAAAACCCTACCCATAAAAATTATGAGAACTAATTTTAATGCGTAAATTTTTATTTGTGCTCACCTTCAAAACACTCGGGTATTAGAGATTGTAAGTTTTTATTAGACATTTTCCCACAGTTATTTAATCCAATTTGGTTTCAAATTAACTAAACCTTGCCTTGAATTTTAACACATCACTCATTTTAGAAGAATTCCTATTTTCCAATGCAAGACAATTTTTATATCTTTTATATGAAATATCATTTAAAAAGATTAATATTGGACAAATTGTAGGAGACACATTCGCAACTAGAAAGAGAGAACCAAGAAATAAATTTTCTTTTAAAAAAAAAAAAATAAAGTCAGTGTTTTACACTATTTGCAAACAAGTCAGAAGCTGTGTATAACAAGAGTTTACAATATCTGCTGGTTATTCTTTTTTACAAGTAGGAGAAAAAATAAAATCAATACTGAAGAAAATATGTAGAATTATTTCTAAGAGTTGTCAACTTTATATTTACCTACCATCAGCAAAGGAAGAAAAATTCAATTAAATTTCATGGCAGGTGGTAAGCTTTTCCAAGGCTTCATTTAAGGTGGGTGGTAATTTTTTTTTTTTAAATCATTTATTTGGGAAAAAAAAAAAAAAAAAAAAAAAGATTTATAAAGTCTGGAAATAAAAAAATAAAGTTAATATAAATATTTCCCTGAAATTGATAAGAAATTATCTATTTTGATTTTAACCTTAAAAGAAAAGAAAAAACTTAAGGAAAATTTTGTACAGCAGCCATTGATATTCCTTAGAGAAAATTCAGAACCTATTTTGTCAGAAATAGATTTTGTTCTCTCTTAAAATAATTGACAATGAAGTTTAATTAGTAGAAATCCACAAAATTTCAGAAATTAAAATATCTATAAGATTTACATTATACACATGTCTTTTTAATGTTGTGTTTCATCTAAGAAGTCTTAGACATAGCAGTATTCATTATAAAAAGAAAACTATTAGCTGACACATTTTATTGAAAGAAAAAAAAGTGTATGCAAGAATAAAGGTTAATTTATGATAACTACCTTAAATCTTTTTTGTTCTGACTCTTAAAAAAATCAAGACAGACTGGGTTCTATAGCCTTGGGTGGCACACTGGTCTAGGAGAAGGATAAGTCTGAATCCAAAACCCCCAACTATGGGTTAAATGGACTCACTAACATGCAATTTGCCAAGTGTTGTGAGTATGGCTATACTCGTGAAGACCTGGTCAATTAGAGAGGGGTTCCTTCGACAGGAGCGAGAAGGCCCTATATTTGGATTTAGCATACAATATCATAAGTGAAATGAAAGACATATAAAAAAAAAAAATTTCTTACAAAGGAAAATGCAGCAAACAAGTTAAAGTATTATTATATACTGGTTTGTTCAGACTAGTATACTTATCTTGATTGTTATAAACTAACATATGAACTTTCTAATTATTAATATACATTGATTTACACAGACTAGTGTCCTCATCTTGGTTGTCATAGTCACAACATTTTGGCTGGTGTATTTTTTAACCTTCTTCAAGTTACTGTCATAGCTGTTAACTTTTCTTGAAATTTTGAACTGAATCTTTTATTTAATTTCTGGTGGGAGATTATATTCATTCTGTTGTCCATGCTAGAGAATATCTCATATCTGTTAATTAACAAAAA